GCTATAAGCCACGTGGGCCTCGCTTTGCAGCGGGGGGAGGGACCGACGGGGCCCGGTGGCTGCAAGCCACTCGGGCCTCGGTTCAGAGCGGGGGGGAGGAGGCGGGAGGGAGAGATCAAGCCGGGGTGTGGAGGAGACGGAGGAACCTGCGGGATGGGGGGGAGAGCTTACCTGCTCCTGCTGGTTCCTCCTCCGCCTGCTAATGGGGGGGGGGCTTCCCTGCTCCTGCTGGTTCCTCCTCCGCCAGCTCAATTTGGAGCTCCCCCCCCCCGCGAGTTTCACGGGTCTTCTTTCTTGTATTTTCTAATTTTACTTATTATCTCTACCACTAGGTGATAGCCAGAATTATTTAGCTGAAAGGAAATTAAAGATAGGAAAGCATTTGGCAAGAGTTGTTTGATACCCTTGTCATAGTTTTGGTGTAGTTAGGTGACTGCATAACTGAACAGTCAGATACTCTCAGTTGGTTATCTGTTATTTCACTCACATTGTGGAGTGTCAATTATGAAGTCAAGAACGTGAAGTCAAGTAGAATTCTGTATTGTATTGAGGGATCAATGGCAGTGGTGAGAAGCTCTCTGCTCTATAGGCTTGTGGGAAGCATATCATGGAGCATCTATCTCATACACACGCGCACGCACACACACACACACAGAAAGATCCTTACAGGTCTTGCTTAAAAGGTTCTATCATATTCACTTCCAGTTCAGCCACAGTATCCTCTCTTCTCCTACTTGTAACTCATGACATTTCTGCACACACACATTTCACATTACTGTTTTAAACTGGATGTTATCCATTGTTGGCCTGATTCCAAGTAAAGTGATACAGGGACAGCAGTTTCATACAGCAAACATCATCCCATTAATGAGCCGTCTCTGAAGCACTACGGCCATTTCGAACTGCACCACCTTTCCCCCCTGCATTTTTTTGCCACGTGATCTTTCTCCCCGCCCCTCCAATTGTGTAGCATGGTATACACAGAACACTTCTTCCTGTCAGCTATGCTGCCATAATGGTTGGGGGTGGGATGCTTGCCCTGTGTACCAAGTACCGCTGCATTCCTTCTTTGCTTCTGTAATGCTTGCTTATCTATGGCCTTGCAGGTGGTGTGTAGTGTCTGGGATTCAGGGAACCGTGGGAGCACTTTCGGTTCCCAGCTTCGGCTCTAACGGCCTGGGGCTGCTTCTCCCGCGTGCGGGAATGTGACTAATTGGCCTAAGGAAGGGGGGGTGCATACAAATACCCTATATCCCATTATGCTTGTAGGGCGACGCCATTCTTAACAGTGACTTTGTTACTGCATCTATAGCTCTGCAATAAAGTATAACCTTTCTGATAAGTGTGTACTCAGTTGTTGGCTGTGGAATCTGACACTTCCACACACTTCAGTAACAGTTCTGCATAATACCAACAATCACACATGCAGAAGAACAGAAATAGATTCAAAGAAATCAGTCTTCTTGTCAGACAGGAAAGTGGCATATAACTTTGTGGTGGAACAGGCCTGCTCTGGCCTACAGGCCCTGTTCCACCCCACCCTCTAAAGTTTTCCCAAGACCTGGATTGGCTTTTCTCTCCCTCTGGTAACTTGCCACCACCACCTGACCTCTATAAGGAATTGTCCACTGGGAGGGTCAGGGCTCCCAGCTTCCCTTCCAAGTTCTGAGGCTTTGCCTCTGTGTTTCCTGCTGCCCAGCACCTGGCTACCATGGGGACAATTTACTGCCTTGTGCGCCCTGCAAGGAATAGCAACTTGCCAACTGCCTGCCTTCTCCCTGGTGCTCCTTTTAAAATAGCGTGCCCAAGACGGTGAAGATCTATGCGGTACAGAGAACCACTGCTAGCATCTTAAGTTATGAAGTATATATTAAAAAGAAAATTTTTATAAGCATACTTTTAGCACAGCACCAGACTGAGCAAGGGATCCAAAAGAAATTGCTAAACCTAAATCTTCTGTCCCTTTCTAACCCTAACCCTATTAGTTGTTAAAATACAGGATAGGCATTTTAGCTTTAAGAAGTTACAAATCTCTACATTATCTTGCATTATCTTGCAGCTCTCTCCCAGCTCTTCAGGCGAGCACATGGTCAACGGCTGCCTTCTCAGTTAAGAGCTCTGGTTGCTGTCATGGATATAGCACCCGAGGAAACCTTACCTCCTCCTTGCTGCAAGGAGTTTTTATCATGTCTGTTTCTCTACCCACTGACCCGGTCAGGCCAGGTCAAGGAAGCCTTTCCTGAAGCCTCTCTAGCATTTAACACTTCCAAATCTCTGTTCCCTGCTTGAAGGGGGTGGGCTTGACCATCCCATTGTCTAGGCCCATTAGCATTTCTGCCTGTTCACTGCCCAGAGGGGGGAGGGGACTCCTTAAATATCACAAACTCCTTAAATATCCAGCTAGAATTCAGAACAGTAGTGTTGCCCTTGGAACTAGGCCTTGTGGGAGCTACACAGTTCCCACCTAGTCCACCTCTCTTCATTGGTGTTGCTTAATAATACAAAATGTTTTCATGAGCCTTTGTTATCTGCTTCTTGCGGAAGTGGGAATCTCTGAGCACAGATACAGCATGTTACTGCTCTGTGGTTTAAGATGATAGCAGGGAAGGAGACATTGGGCAGCTGCTGTTGTAGTGGTAGCCATGTGGCTCTCTTAAGCTCTGGCTTTAGCTTCTTGTATGTTTCATGAACCCAGTAAGTTTCCAGCAAATATTATATAGGAAGTTATGTAACTGGGAATCTTAGCAACAAGGCTTATTCCTCTTGCTTTTGTCCTCTCACACCTTAATACGTTTCCTTTTTTGCTGTTTTCAGACAACCACGAGGCAGTGTTGCGTTTTAATGGGGCTCCTACCAGAGGGTTTCAGGCTGATGTAGGGGGGAAAACAACAATACGTCTGATTAATTCCCAGGTAAGTCTGCCTTACAGATGCGTACCAAGAAACTACAAAAGAGGATGCATTCTGTGGGTTTTAATGAGGGCCTAGCTTCAGCTCTTTTTGCTTGGCAGACTTGTCTGTGATACAAGGATCTGTGAGCAAGAATAGTAGTGGAAAGTAGAGGAATCGGCAGGATCAGCTCTTTTGTTGCACTTGCACATGAACAGAGCCTCTGGAGATAAAAGGACTGCCTCCAACCCTGATTAACAAGGTTAAAAGTTCCAGTTGCACAGAAATGGACAGTAAAGAATGCAAAAAAAGGACCGTCTGACAAAGAATTTGATACTTAAGCTCTATAGGCCTTTATTTACTCCTGCTTTTATTTATTTATTTATTTATTTTTCGCATTTATACCCCGCCCTCCCCGATGGGCTCAGGGCGGCTAGGTGGGGCAGCCCCAGCTATGTACATATTTCTTTTGGGTTGTATCACATAAGTCTTGTGATACATCACACAACAAAAATGAAGCTTCTCATTTACTTTGCAGCCATCCTTCCCATAAGGCAATTGGTAGGTGCATCTTAACACTTTCTTCACTCTGGGCCTTCTCTCTTGTTTCTGAGTCTCATCTCTGCTGGATTTCTCACCCAAGCCACCACGTGCATCTCATACTATTAAAAGTTTTTGGTTTTGCTTGTGCACTGTTTCCAACAAGAGTATCATAGTCCCTTTCCATGGTTCCATTTGCACCATGAGGAACCACTACCTTTCAGCTCCCTCCCATGCTACAAAGGTAACCTTGAGCCTTCTAGGATGCTGTGGCACCTGCCCATGCTGGCATTGCTGCGGTTCCTAGGAATGGTGACACTGGCAAGCAAGAAGCTCCAGACTGGGCTCCTTTCCCATAACCTTGAAGTTCTGACATTAGCCAAGCTGCATTTGCTCCCCCCCCCAAAAAAAAAAAGTGACATGAGAAAGGGCCAGCAAATGGACTGATGGCAGATGAAGAACTTCAGGTTGTAGTCACACACGCCAGTTGAAGTGGAGGGGAAGCAAAGCTATTTCCTCCGGAGGAATTTGACATGCAGTTGTGAGATCGCACATCCCTTTGTAGCTGCCCATCACTGTGTGGGTGAGTCAGGTTTTTTTGGCAGTTTGTTTCCCATGCACATAAACAAGGAATTGCACCTCCGCACTGAGGGCTCCCTATGGAGTATGCAATGATGTGCATACTGGAAAGGGGGGGGAAGGGCACCAAGCCAGGATGGAATGATCAGACCATCCCGACGGCATGAGAGCATGCTTGTGTGATCAGACAGGGGAAAGTCCCATCTGTGGCCCATTGGAAACCATTACAGCCAGACTTTTCCCGGTGTCTTTTAACTCTGCTTCTGTGGCAGAGCAGCATGGGTTGCCGATGACTCTGGGATGCTTCCCAGATGTTGCTGTCTGATCGCGCCCTATAGATCTATCAGGCATTCACACCTATGTTGGATCTAAAGGCACATGTGATTGCAGCTTCAGTGTGTGTGATGTCTTAACCCAAACTCCTCTCTAGTGATAAAGAGAGATACAAATCACGTTCCTCCGTCATAAAGTTCATATTGTAGAATCGATTTTCCTTCGCTTGTCAATGCAGAATACCTTTTAGTGAGAATGCTATATAAATTCACATCATGTATAAAGTTAATTTCAAAGACTAAATCTGAGCAGAGAAGAATTTCACATTCTTTGGAGCAAATCTTTCATTAAAATTTGCCACCACTGTAAAGTTTCTACACTCTGTGCACACAGTTCTGTTTGGGTACATGATGTTACCCAAGAGATTTCCATGTTCTCTGCAGCTGTCCCCCTCAAACAACTTGATTGATTAGAGCAGCAGGAAAAGGTGAAGCCCTCTGCATAAAAACCAAATGCTGAAAACTGATCCTTTCTGAGGCACCTAACATTCACAGCTGTATGAATTGCACTATGGGGAATGTCTTTTCCAGTATTCCCTCCCTGGGTGAGGGAGGAGAATAAGTCAATTCTATTGGAAGGAGTTAGAGCTTTATATATAGGGTGACCTGAAGATTAGTTGATACACAAAAGTAGAGTGCCCTGTGGGTATATAGTAATGTTCATTAATCAGTGTGATAGTTAATACAGAACAGAAGCAGTAAATGAGAATTAGCAAGGAAGTCAAAGGCCAAACAGTTTAGCAGCCAGTAAAACCAGGAATTGATTACGATCAGTGCAGTGGGGCAGGATAGGTAAATCTAGTAGCAGCTACATGGTGGCTGATGAAGAGCGAGATAGGAACTACAGTATTTCATGGGAGCAGCCTTGCAAAGTTGTTTGAATTATTGGTGCCTAGCACTCAGCTAAAAATAGCCAGAAGTACTTGGGTGATAGGATGTTAATAAGGCAGTTGAGTTACTGGATCAGCGAATTTGTTAGAGGAAGTTCATGAGAAACTGCCCTGTGCCTACAGTGCATAAAAAGCTCTAGGATGTGAAGCTGATCAGCCCACATCCCTTTAAAGTTCCTTCACATTTTAACCTCCATTTCCCCTACAATAACAAACAAAAGATTGTGTCTTGTGCCTTTCACTGTGGTGTAAGAACCAATGTTTTTCAAGCTTTGTGCTTTGAGCAAGCCCTTTCCACATTGTCTTGTCTGCTGAATGAACTGTTGCAGGTTTGTTGCACAGTTAGTCCACTGGCTGTGTCTGTTGGCCCCTTAGCCAACACATGTGACTGACACAGTGACCCCAGCACTCTTGAAATAGCCCTTAGTAATTACTTCTTAACAACCAACAGCAGACAGATTTTTAGTGTTGTGAAACAGTTTCCAGTGCAGTAATCTTTTGTTATCCTCTCATGTTGATCCAGGTAACTTCAAAGTCCACTGGCCATCTCATTTAATAGCCACTATTAGTTTACAAGTCTTATTCATTCATCAGATGCTCTTTTAAGACCAAAGTATTAGCAGGTCACTTCTCAGGCAGAGGGCTTTAATGCCAGTATAAACAATTGGTAACAGGCACAGAAGGGAGCAAGTGTGCATTACGTGTAGACACATATGCATGTGATGTGATGTGAACCATATCTGAAGTGTTTAAGCATGGGTACATGTGTGAGTCATGGCCAAGTGCAGCTTCCTGCTGCATCTGTGGGTGGTGGAATAAAATATGTAGGTGCTTCAAAGGTGATGATATATATTGCATGTACACATGATGGACGGGGAGCATTAGCATGTCAGCAGGTAAGGGATTAGTGAAGGAGACACTAGATTTCGGTCCAAGGTTATAACCTATAAGGATATAACCAGAAACTCTTGTTGGTCTCTAAGGCACTACTGGACTCAAGTCTAGCTGTTCTACTGCAGACCCGACATGGCTACCCCATGAAACAGTCTTCATGTTCACAAACACTGCGTCTCCGGCAGCTAGACTGTAGGGATTGGTTAGACTGGAACTTCTGGCTGCTGCTGGTAGACAGAAAGCTGACAGATAGTTAAGAACATAAGAGACGCCAATGTTGAATCAGGCCAAAGGCCCATCCAGTCCAACACTCTATGTCACACAGTGGCCAGAAATACCAGTGCCATCAGGAGGTCCACCAGTGGGGCCAGGACATTAGAAGCCATCCCACTGTTGACCCCCCCCCCAAGCACCAAGAAGACAGAGCATTACTTGCCCCAGAGCCCCTAGCTATACCTTGTGGCTAATAGCCACTGATGGACCCCTGCTCCATATGCTTATCTAATTCCCTTTTGAAGCCGTCCATGCTTGTAGCCGCCACCACTTCCTGTGGCAGTGAATTCCAAGTGTTAATCACTCTTTGGGTGAAGAAGTACTTCCTTTTATCCGTTCTAACCCGACCGCTCTGCAGTTTCATGGAGTGCCCACGAGTTCTTGTATTGTGAGAAAGGGAGAAAAGTACCTCTTTCTCTACCTGTTCTTTCCCATGCATAATCTTATAAACCTCGATCATGTCACCCCTCAGTCGTCTTTTCTCCAAGTTAAAGAGCCCTAAGCGCTTTAACCTTTCCTCATAGGGAAAGTGTTCCAACCCTTTTATCATTCGAGTTGCCCCTTTCTGCACTTTTTCCAAAGCTATAATATCCTTTTTAAGGTGTGGAGACCAGAACTGCACACAGTATTCCAAATGAGGTCGCACCATTGATTTATATAGCGGCATTATGATATTGGCTGATCTGTTTTCAATACCCTTCCTAATAATCCCCAGCATAGCATTGGCCTTCTTTATTGCAGTCACACACTGTCTCGACATTTTCAGTGAGTTATCCACTACAACTCCAAGATCTCTCTCTTGCTCAGTCTCTGCCAGTTCAGACCCCATCAATGTGTATTTATATTTAGGATTTTTGGCTCCAATGTGCATCACCTTGCACTTGGCCACATTGAACCCCATTTGCCATATTGACGCCCACTCGCCCATCCTGGACAGATCCCTTTGGAGTGCCTCACAATCCTCACTGGTTTTCACCACCCTGAACAACTTTGTATCATCCGCAAATTTAGCCACTTTACTGCTTACTCCCATCTCCAAATCATTAATGAACAAGTTAAAAAGCAGTGGACCAAGTACTGATCCCTGCGGTACCCTACTGCTTACCACCCTCCACTGAGAAAATTGCCCATTTATACTCACTCTCTGTTTTCTATTAATTAGCCATAAAAGGACTTGTCCTTCTATCCCATGATGTTTGAGCTTACTTAGGAGCCTTTGATGAGGAACTTTATCAAAAGCTTTCTGGAAGTCAAGGTAAACAATATCTATTGGATCCCCCTTGTCCACATGTTTGTTCACCCCCTCAAAGAACACTAACAGGTTAGTGAGACAAGATCTTCCCTTACAGAAACCGTGCTGAGTCTGCCTCAATAGGTTTTGTTCATCTATGTGCCTACTAATTTTTTCCTTAATAATGGTTTCCACCAATTTACCCGGTATCGACGTCAGACTGACTGGCCTGTAATTTCCAGGATCTCCTCTGGAACCCTTTTTAAAGATGGGAGTGACATTAGCTACCTTCCAATCCTCAGGAATGGAGGCAGATTTTAAGGAAAAGATTTTAAGTTTTCATTTAGGCAGTAAGTAAGTAAGTTTTATTCACAGTCATTGACCAGCACATAATACACCAATGGCATCTCTTGCAACATAAATGATACATATGACATTAAAATAGAAGCAGAGTTTTAAAAGCAAGTATTTAAAAAGGAAAAAACTCCATAAAAACCATAATCATTAAAATTAATAAAACTAAATCTTAATTCTCCCCTTTTTGAGCTACTATAGTTTTTCTAAGGCTGCAGACAGATATGTGCTAAGAACAGGCTCATGGCACTGTGAATGTGTTTCCAGCACTCTTTAATCTGGGTGTTTGTGTGGCATAACAACAAAACTGCTGCTGTATATACCAGGAGCGCAGGCTAGCTGCATTACCTCCATCGTGCCCAGAAGAAGGAAGAATCTTACTCCATGTGCAAATGAAACCAGAGGCCTTTCTTTTGGGGTCTCATGGACACACAGTTGGAAAATAGCCATGGAACTTTCTTTTTATATGTGACAACAGCTGAGATTATTATATGTGCAAAAATGGAAAACTTTGATAATACCTGCAATAGAGGAATGGTTGATGAAGTTGTTAGAGCTTGCAGAGATGGTTAAACTTACTGCTTTGATTAGAGAAAAGATAATTGCTACATTTATACAGCTGGAAACCCTTTATAGACTTTTTGTGTGACAGGAAAAAGAACTATTTGATGATTTGTGGATTTGATGATTAAGGGGGTATAAGACTATAGATAATGGAGAAAAATGAATTTTTAAAATATATATAACTATGGAGTAAATGTCAACTTAGTAATATTATCTGTATTTGATGTAGAGAAAATTGGAAGCCTATTTTATATTTCTATTTCTTTTTTATATTTTTTCGTTATTTGTGTATTCTTTAGTAGTTTTCTTTTGTATTCTTTTGTTGTCTGTGTATTCTTTAGTAGTTTTCTGCTAGTTTTTGTCTTTTCATTTTTTAAAAAAATCTTCATAAGACTTATTTAAAAAAAAAAGAAGGGTCTTACTACTTGATAATATCCGCCTCCTGCGGCTGCCTCCCCTGGAGCCTTGTCTACCCAGCCGCAGCAGGAGTAAAAACCAGGCAGGTGAGCCAGTGGGATTCCGCTCTTGCTTGTCTCACCTATCACTGCTGCCTCCTGCTGTGCTACTGGGTGAGTGCAGTCTCAGCAGAAGGAAGCCTTGTATTGCCAAGAGCTCCTGATATGGTTCACCCCTTCATAAAGCCTGAAGGCTAAGTTGCGTTCGAGTTTTCTCTGTTCAGCCCACTTTCAGTGGGAGGGGGGGGACAGTATGACTAGTCAGTATCTCTAGCTCTTGTGCTCTGTGGGCTTCACTGGTGTGCTACAAAGAAATCTACATTAAAGAGAGAGCTCAGAGTATATTCAGAGTCCTGTGAGGCTCTTTGATCTATGTCTGCATTCACCCTTAATCAGTTTCAGCATGGCAGTTCCTACCTTCTTTCTTGCCTTTTCATGCAATTGTGAGGTTCGTCTGATTAATGTTGCACGCGCAATGAAACTGTGTTTAAATGACCCAAACTAAAATGCACTATTTGGAGAACCCAGTGGGTTTACATGCACACATAAATTATTTAAAATTATATTTCTTTATCCTTCCTTTCGCTATGCAGCTTGATTTGAGAGATCAGTCTGTCTCTCCTATTGTCCGTGGCTAGATCTGTGTGGATTCAGAGATGCAATTATCACATACCATGACCAAGTTAATGGACTAGTTCGCCCAGAAAACTCCACCTTTCATTTCAGTAGTAACTGTGCTAAAAATGTGTGATTTTCATGAAACAATCCCAACTATAGTTACATCCTCTGAAACCATCATATATCTAATTTCCAACTGTGAAATCAAAGGAATCACAAGGATAAAAAAAATCATAAGAGTTGGGGGACTACTCAGGGATATAGAGTTTTTTGCAGGCCTTGGGAAATCTAAAAACACAAAAGTGGTGGAAAACTGAACAACTGCAGGTGCAAGGTTTTTGTTCTGTTTTCTTTTAAATTACAGAATGGTGACCAAGATGACCTTGCACAATCCCAGCCACTGTTTTGTATTGCTAGGCAACCCTATACAACATTGCTGAGGAGTCATCGGCAGTGGCCTTGAGTCTAAAAGCAAGTGGTGTACACTTTCAACCACCACTGATCACCTGGACAGTAAAGATCCTGGCTGCCAGGTGATTGCCAGTGATTTGGGGTGGAGGACATATCCTGTATGCCTCCAGCCTCAGGCCATCACTACTTGATCAGCAGGGTCTTTGGTGGTGGCTGGGAGCTGAAAGCACACAGGAGATGCTTTTGGTCCCAAGCCACCAGTGATCACCTAGCCAGCAAGTCCATAAAACCACTAGGCCAAGGTCTGGCATAGAAGGGGGGAATGAGATTTCCCATCCCCTGTGAGTCCTCAGTCAGTGCTGTTTGATTTCCATGTGCATTTTAAATGGGAAACCGTGTATTAATTGGTGTCTGTTTTGTAATTCTCAGCTTCTTACTGTTGAAGAACAAAAGGTTATTACGGATCCGCAATATAACACTGGAACATTAATTGTGTGGGATCCAGCACCATATCATGCAGATATCCATGAGGTAAGATTGAGCTATATAAATTTTAAGGTAAGTGCATAATTGTTTATCAAAGCAGATGCTAAGGGTACGAGGGGCTGGCACGGTGCTTATCCAGGAAAAGCCTGATGCTTTCCTTAGCAATTTTACAATGGGTTTTCTTCATTTTCATTGTATGACACCGCATTGCACCACAGGTAGCCTAAAGAGCCAGCCAGGAAGGAGACCAGAGCCACTAGGCTTGGCGGGACTCAGGTGGGCAGTTGCAAGAGCCAGGTCTAGGTCACGAGAGCCATGTAAAAGATTAGTATTGTTTAGGCTTGTGTTTGTTTTTTTAACTCGAGTCTGGGGATCCATGGGAGGCCCTGAGGGTATTCCTTCTCATGCCCATTTTGCTAATATGACAACAGTTTTCTAGTTCATATAACTGCTGCTACCCACAGTCACCTCACTTCCAGATCACTTCAGACACTAGCCAGGAAATGAACTGCCAAGCAGTAGTTCAGCACTAGGCACTCTGGATGAGTAACGTCAAGAGATGGAGGGCAGTCCTAATGCAGCCATATTTATTTCTAGTATAAACTTGAAATGGTTCTCATTATATTTCCCAATATAAAGGATTCCATCATAGTGATAGACGCCACTTTGTGTCCAGAGACAATAAATAGCCAGTGATTATTTCAAATGAATGCCAAAGTTCCCTCACCTTGTTCTTCTTTCACCTGGACTGTCCTCCATAGCTTGGCGAGTTCCCAGAGTATCCTTTCTAGCCTGCCGATTGGCCCCCTTATAAGGCCTCCACAAAACCCAGTACAGGCTCCTTGACAGTCCCTGGACTCTTGGAGGGCGGCTGGGCCTCACTTGAGCCCAGGGAGTGGAACAGCTGGGGCTGGTTCTCCCTTGCCCACCCCTTTTGCCCTGGCTGTCAGGTCAGATGTGCTCAGCTGTCTTGGGAGTGGTGCAGCCCTGCAGCATTGGAGCTGCCAGTGGTGCTGGAAACAGCCTGAAGACTGGATGTGGTGTTCTGCTTGGCCATCCCTGGGTAAATCCAGGGCTGGCTCTGTCACTGGGAAGGGTCCTGGTTCTGGGTGTCTGTGAAACAGTATGAATGGATGGAGCCCTTGTAGAGCATGAAAAGACATCATAATTCTGGAAACCATTTAATCTGCGTCAAACTGCAAGACTTGGGCATTTTCCAGACTGCTTAAAGTTTCATTTTCATTCCCCAATGTTACCAGATTTTTTTCTTGTGTCCAGACAACTTTGTTAACATCCCATTGCTATACCAGTTTTCCCCTCATTCTTTTAAAAACTAGTTTTTTTCCTTTTTTCATTGTGAAATGGAAACTTTTTTTTCCATTGTGAAATGAATTTGCAAGATAGCCTCTTGCTCAGAATGTGAACATTTCCCCCGCCTTGAGGATTGCTGCCCAGAGTGGCCCAGGATTTGGGCGGCTTTTTAAAAAATTACTATTTGCATGCCAATGCAGAAACTTTCAGTGCTGGAGGGCAAAGAGGCACTCCCATTAGGAAGTCTGTCACCAGCAGCCAATCATTGTCCTCTGTTATTTCATTCAAACTCCAGAGCAAATTATAGCGCTCCTGAAGGTACTGGAGCACCTGGGTCTTAGCCAGGACATGGAGCAATTAATCAAAGTGCTCCTGAATGAACATCGACCCCACACACACACACATCTACAACTCCCCTCTTCATCATTAGCAGCCCCCTCCCCCCGCAGAACTGTGGCAGCTCATCTGCAGACATGTGCGTTTGCCCGTCTCCTTTGCTTGCGCGCTCTCTCTCTCTCCCCCTTCCCTTCCATGTGTTAAGTGGCTCCTCTATAGAATACTTGGAAGTATAAATAGGGGTCTCCATGAGGCTGCTGCAGCACTTCAGCACATGCCCAAAAAATATCCGAGGGGGAGCAGGAAAACAATCCTGAAATGTGAATTTGAACAGACAGGAGACTGATGGGGAAAGACCAAAGGAAACATGCCATTGTGAACTGATTGCACTGATAGTGTGATCACTGGATCTGCCACGACACTGACAAAAAAATGAAAGGTGGCTTCAGTCTGGAAAATGTGTTCCCATATAATGATAAACACAGAACAGCAAAAGATTGTGTGTTTCTGTTGTATCAGTACAGTATGATGTACACTTGTATACATGTGTGTGCAACTCAGGGAAGGAGGGCAGGCTGTAGAGAGCTTAAGAAGGCAGCCAAGTCAGCAGGAAGGCCTTGCACGCTGATCAACAGAGGTAAAATTGACAGGTTGTTCCATTTCAGACTCACATATGATGAGAAAACTCTGGAGTAGATTCTGTGCTCAAACTGAAAAAAAATCAAGGAAGAAAATCAAAAGAGAATCACACCTTTAACATGCTTTAAAGTAGTGTTTTCCTTTTTCAAAAACATTCTCGTGGTTAAGCTCCCAACTAATGTAGCTTTTAAAAACATTGTTTTGATAACTTCCTAGCTAGCATGGCCATAGTCTTTAGAATTCATTCACAGAAGAAAATTAGGATTCCTTGCTTTTTTGCTTGGATGCAAATAACTTCTTGGCTGCAAAGCTTAGTAAAATCCTAACAATCCATCTAACTGGAAATGTTTTGAACATGTTGTTTTCTCTTACTATCTGGGTTTCAAAGGATGATATGCTGATGGGGCAAAGGTTCCACCTTGCAGCACTGGAACAAGATAACGTGGTTCATAGGCTCCCTTCAACACCATGATACCACATGAATGTCAGGCCTCACCTTACCTGTGTGAAACAGCCAGTTGAGGCACCCAGTACTGTACACGGTGCCATCATACTGCTTTCGGTCTGGTTTCCCCACCCCCCAGATACATAAGCTGTTGTGGCAGGAGAGTGATAATGTGAAAAATGTGCATAGGGAAAACAACACTGCATGCTTCAGAACAGCTGCCTCTTTTGCTCAATGTATTGGATCCTTTGCTGTGTTCCCCTCCCCGCAGCATTTCCTTCCGACCTCTGGAAACTAGATTGCAGAGGTTGTGAGCCACACAGGTCTGCTGGTGGAAGGGACAGGAATGATTATTTCTTCTCCTTCCACCTCCTTGCTGCAGTCCCCATCCCACGTGTCTTATTCACATAGCTCTTGTGACCCCCTGGGACCTTCTTTCTGGAAGATCTGCTGGGAAGAATGGGAGATAGCAAAGATCCATGTTCTTTCCACTGGTGGAAGTTAGGTTCCATCCCTTCGGTTTTAATTGTCAATCTGTCTCCATCTCCATCTGAACATATTTGGGCAGCACTGATCACCAGTTTCCTTAGCCATTGTCATTCTTCTGCCACAACTGCTTGTGTATTTGGTGAGACAGAATATTTTGAGCACAACTGTGTTTTGAATATTCATTTTTAAAAATGGACATTTTATTTTATTTTTAATTTCTAGTGGTACAGAAAACCAGATTACAATTTCTTTAGCAGCTACAAAAAGTATCGAAACAGACAACCTGAGCAACCTTTTTACATCCTGAATCCCTATATGCAGTGGCAACTTTGGGATATCCTTCAAGAAAATTCACCAGAGGATATCCAGCCAAATCCACCCTCTTCAGGAATGCTTGGTATGTTATTTCCCTTCTAATGTGGGGCTGGATCAAAAGATGATATTCCACCAGTGTAAGAGCATTTAGAGCTGCAGAACAGGGCTTCCATTGTCAAAGGAGGCAAGTGGTTTTGCCAATTCACCCTACCAATGCAGACCCCTACTGTGCCGCCATGCTGTTTGTGCGGGTCGTCCCCCCACTGCAGAGTTTTGTGGGCTAAGTGGGCTTCTGGGAGACTAGAGGTAATGCCACTCTGCTAGCCCTGTTCCACTCATGGTACTTTGGATCCAACCTGTTGCA